TGGATTGTAAATGACCATATATCACCGAAAGAACCCTCGCTCCCGCACCGGGCTAAGCCCAGCTGATTTATGACTAGAGGAGCAAGGAAGGCGTGTCTCAGCGGATTATACCGCATCGGTGACGTCGCTCTCGGCTTCACTGAGAGAAATGAAAACAGATGTGGGAGGCGGAGTGGAGGTGTCGTCGTAGGGGGAGCGGACGGCACGATGCGTGGGAAACACCACGGATGGTCGAAAGGACGGACGGGTGATGAGAAGCATGATGGAAAAGGTGATGGCCAGGAAAATGCGTAGTGTAAGAAGGGAACATTTCCCCCATTTTGCTAGCTCGAAGATCTCCGCCGAATGAGAAAGTGGAAAGTTGCTCGTTTGCGGGGTATTCAAAACCAGCGGAGTGAGCACTCAGCGCGAAATGCCATGAATGCAGATTGTTGCCTCGACATCAGGCTCAAGGACTCCACTCCCACCGGCAACCCAAATGCAAATCAGACTCCACCCGACAGGCAGACAGTGATACTAATCCCACGACTACAAAGTTGATGCCCATTGATCCCCGGATGATTCATCTTCATTCGAACACGAACGCTTAGAGATGTTGCCCTGACCCTTGCTGGTGAGTTAAAAATCATGTCTCATAGGGAACTCCCACACTTTTTTAAATTATAAAATACACAAAATTTGTTGCAATAATTTAAAAGGTGTTCAAATTGCATTCAATGGCGGCAGGAACAGACGTTCACGCGATGGATGAAGTTTTCCCTTACACGCTGGGGGGTGTCGGACGCAATTGCTCCACATCATGTTTGAACTCTTCCAAAGGGTCCTTCGTATCACTCTATGGGACATGACTTTTGACTCACCCAGTATATAAAACTGAGGCAATTGCATCGCATTTATCCGAGTAAAAAGTGATGCGTTGCTAATACTTTAAACACTAGCAAACAGGCCCACCTTGAAGTGAAAATGATAGCTCCGCATGAAGTCTTAAGAGGGTGCTGAATTTACGAGCAATTTTTTTCTCCAGTTTTCCGAATTTTCAAACAGGACCTCATTGAACTGACGTTACGACTTCGGAAAGACTATGCCTTAGGACAACGGTGCACAACGCAAAAGGCTGTGAGGGCCATTTGCGATTTTTACTCACCTACCGCGGGCCACAGTCTGCCTGACCATAGCCGTGGCCAACAGTGCAAGAGCCACAGTAGCACTTGAAACACCACCAGTCGTGGCGGGCAAGGGCCACGTGGGCCGGATGTTGTGCATCACTGCCTTCGGACCTTCAGTTTTCCATGTCGTATGATCCATCACAGAAAAAAAAATGCTTTCATCCAAGGAGAGAATGGCCTACAGTACTCAGGGACACTATTCACATCATGCATCTTTTCCTATTCTTTTATTTTTTTGGGGGGGAGCCTGTCGTGACATTATGAAGAATGGACGGTGGTGAAACTGAACACACAGCCAAGCGACACATGAAAGGAAGCGACGGGCAACAAAGCATGAAAGCGAAGTGCGACGCAAGGTTGAACGAAGCAAGGTCGAACCAGGCGAGACGATCCGCACCGCAGCATCCGACACGTGCCAAACAACCTCGGTAATCAAAAGTGGAATGCCACTTTTACGAACGAGAGGAAAGCACTCAGAAGTGGGAAAACTTTTGATGCTTTGTCGGTCTCCTCAGCTGCCACGGTCCCGTCTCTCGCACTCTCATTACGACGAGATGGATTCTTTTCGCGGCGGAAAACAGGTAGCAAAAAAAAAATAATAATAATAAATAATCTAGAAAGGGGTTCCCCATGAAACGCAATGCATAAATCTGAGAAATTCCCAGAATCCGCATGAATGAAAGGTCGATGACACGCTTCGTGTAGCTGTTGCGTGCACGTGGGACCCGGAAGGAAATATTGGATGGGTAAAGTTTGATGAAGCTCACGGTCTCGACAGGCATATGGATTCTAAATTAGTCATACTGCCGAAGGAAACGTCAAGGGGTTGTGACACAATCTGTCACCTCCTGATGCCTTAATAATGTCTGTCTATCCATTCCCTCTCCTTTGTCTTCTCTCCCCGGCATCGCGGCGGCCTGGCAGAGAAAATGGAATTTCTGATGGAAATATGTCAGGTCCTCCCTCGTCCTTCTCTCTCCGTCTCGCCTCCCCCAGTCTTATTTGCTCTAAATCGAACGTTTAATCTTGAAAGAAATATTACCTAATAGATTGGCTGAAGTGATTGCAAACATTGATGGAGTGAGCATTAAAAAACATCAATTAGGCCTACTGCAGATACTTTCCCCCCCTTCAGCTGGGGTTTTCCCCGAATCCTCCCCCCCCCCCCCCCCTCGCCCCCCGCCATGAACCATCGGGGTCCAGGCGGCCGCCTTCCCACGCTTCAGAAGCCGCGGCGCTTCCAGGCGTCATTGGCATGCAGTGCAGGCCGGACGTGTCGATCCTTTCAGGGATGCGACTCCAGACATCGTCGCCGATAGGAATCTTTAAACCAACCGTTCCTCTGTCCGACTGACGCAGCAGAAACGACAGGAACCAAGTGTAACAACAGGAAGCCGATTGCGAAAAAATCAAGCGATCGGCTCATCCTACGTTTTCTAAATGGTTCGTTCGTAATCGTGCCACTTTTCTTACTTTAACTGCTTGCCTTGCTTCCTTGGATGCTACTGCAATGTCAGCTTCGTCTTGCTTTTTTTTTCAATCTACGGATTAGTGCACCCACCCGATCTAAAGGATGGATGGATGTCCAATGGGGTTTCAGATTATATATTCGAACGCGTGCAATCCAAATCTTCAGGGCTCTTAAATTTCATTTGGATTCCCAAGAAAGCAATTTTGGCTGCCCCGATCCGCCGCTTTCCGACCGGGTTCACTCCCCTCCCCATTTTCCCACAATGCGAAGGGGAAATTCGATCAAAAAGCGCTTTAAAGTCCAACGTTCGAGTGGAAGACGCCAATAGGCATTTCTGCCCTTTATGACATCTCGTGTCAAGGTCGAGCAAGACCGCTCCATCGCTCTTAACCCTTTGAGGACCACGAACGTACAGGTACTTCCACACTCCCGAAGGGTTAAAAAAAAAACTCGGTCCTCAAAGGGTTAACGACATACTCGCCCAGTTACCCACAGCTTTGCAATCAATGAACATTTATGGCAGGTTCCCCGACGTTCCTGTTCACGATTACGACTCCAACCTAGATCGCATCGAAAAGCTCCCCCCCCCCCCCCCCCCCTCGCTGCATCGACCAATAATAGGCATATTATAAACTCCAACGAGTACAACCTTCGACTCCTGGCTAATGATAATAATCAATCATGCTTTTTTTTTAACTGCCATCCTCTCGGATAGCAATTTTTTCTGCCGCCCCACCGATCTCGCGCCATTAAAATTCAATCGATCCACAATTAACCGAAATGAGATCCTCTCCAACGCATACCAAGTTCGTTTCCAGCATATAAAACGACTCCCTCCACCCCTTTCTTCCTAACGAAAGGTGTCGAATCTCCGAATTTCGTGTTCCTCACGCGTGATGTCAGAGCTCCCTCAAGCCTCAGTTAATCCGATGACGTCGCAATCGATTCCCAGTTCCTTCCCTGCAGCTCGTCCATTCGTCTAGAAACACTTGAGCAGACGATTACCCTGTCCTTTCTCGATACCTGTATGTCACGGCATCGAGCCACTCGAGGTAGCTGTCCGTCGCCCACGACTCCTCCTCCCCTCCCCCAGGCAGACAATCCTAACATGAAAAATGGACACCATCACCCCTCGTTTGGCTCCCTCGGAGACACGAACACCGTCCCCATCCATCAGAGGCCCACATCGCTTCAAAGCCTTCCGGGCTTCCAAAGCATCACCCCCTTCGCGGTACCCCCCCCCCCCCTCCCCCCACAACCCATCGCTTACTCTAAGGGTGTCAATCTCGATTAGGCTGGCCCGGATGGAAGCCTTCAGGGGTGATTAGGGGCCACAATAAAAATCGAACACCTATTGTTTAGTGCCAACATGCTGAAATTTACAGTACTTTTCCGAGACGAACTGTTGAGTCGGACTTCGCAGGCCGGACAAAACGGACTGGCGGGTCGGATCCGGCCCGCGGGCTGCCAGTTTGACACCCCTGGCTTATTCCCTCTGACTTGGACTACGTCATACCCCCCTTATCCAAACGGTTTGCAATCGCACGCACCGTAAACCTTACTCCTGACCTTGAATCACGACACACCCAATCGTATACCTGTGTTTGAAAATTATGAGCTGAGTCAGATTTGAGGTCCCAACATGAAGGACCAAGGCCGGAAAACGGATAGAAAGTAACAGACGCCTGTACGCCCGAGCTCTTTCTTATGGCTGCCTCATGACGCGTGGCATTGGATTCGCCGACTGGGAGCGCTGAGAGCCTGAGTTTTCACAAGGTTCACTGAATTCAAAGTCGAATGAAATGTCTCGTGAAGATGAGACCTTGCACGTCCGCCTCGGCGCAAGACTCGTCCCTAATAATAAAAAAAAAAATAAAAAAAAAACAGATTTCTTCGTATCGATGCTTTGATCACCCCAGGAGACAAACCGCTGTCACAAAATTCTGCTCGCAGACTAAACGTCCCCAACACGAGAGTGATGGAAGAACAGAGAATCGCCTGGCATCTTTGCAGGAGAGAGCGAAGTTACGTTTCCGCAAAAATACTACAGATGGCACACACTACCACAAACGGGCGCTGGCACAGCGAAGAGCCGATAATCCCGTGAAACGAAAATCGAGATCACTACTCAGCCCACCCCGCCGCTCAGCTGGATGCATCGCAGATGTTACATCTTCCCAGGCTTTATATTAATACTTGGAATGCAGAAGGTTGGACTGGGGGATTATATTTTATATAATCATGGCACATTACCTCTTCTCGGCTCCGTGCAGAAAAGAAAAGGGAGTGCATAATTCTTCCTCTAATTTGCGATCGCACTCATCCACAACGACCATTTGGTTCGCTTGAAGGGAGCGAGCGAGAAGGAAACAGACAGAGCGTGTGTGTGCGGATGCAGCGAGGGAGGAAGGCCCATGAGGAAGAGGAGCTCGGATCGATTCGCCGGGTGTGCCTATTGCCTTTGCCCTCTCCATGCACAGTCCTCTCACGTTCCCCAGAAAGGCTGAGTTTCGTTCCTCCCGTCTTCCTCGAAATGCCCACATCGGATTTCCCCAACAACGGTGAGTTCCCTAGTCTCTCGCTATCGGACCGTTACGTACGATCCACGATCGATGGGGAAAAAAAGTAAGAACATCGGCCCATTCAACGGCCACACGAAGAGAGGACAGGGCGATGATGGCTTTCTACCCCCGACGACAGGCGACCGGCGCCTTCGTTTGCATCGCCGCTCGTGTCATATGTACGCAACGGCACCTATCATCGAAGAGGATCGACGATCGACAGAGATCGACGCCTTTTCCATGCAAATAAAAAAAAAACGTATTTCCCCGCAGGTTTCGGCGTGCAAGTGGAGGAGATGAACGAGGGAGGACGCTATCGCTACAACGCCAGGGCCCCCGGAGACACCCACGACTGCCAGCATGATGGTTTCTTTCTCCCTATCTTATGGCTCCCCGTGCAGGATCGAAGATATCCGTCACGATCTGATTCCGACAATATCTTTGTCTGTACATCGTAGCACACCTGGGAAACTTCGTCTTCTGATTTTCTACTCATAAAGTTTGCCATTTTGGACGAGTCCCAGCATCCGTTCTCCCTAAAAGCACCGATAAATAATCGGACGGAATCTTTGACGCCACACGAAAGCCCCAAATCCCACAACAAAAAAACCGACTGGATGCCCCCCCACAGCGGACGAACTGGCGGAGCTGAAGCAGCGCCTCGCCGAGATGAAGGAGCTGCTGAGCGAGGAGACCGAGAGCAACCACGGCCGCCGGGCCCGCCGGTGCAGCGGCCGCGAGGGCTGCGGCCTCGCGTTCTGCGACTCCCAGATGGTCAGCTTCGTCTTCCTCCTCGTCATGGGGCTCGTGCTCTGCGTGTCCGTCTACGCCTTCCAGCATCTCTTCACGGCCATCTTCCAGCGGTTCTTCCCCTCCTGAGTTCTTCCTCGTCGACGCGGTGCTTCCGTCGTTTTCGTTCTCCTCGATGCGTCAATAATAACGTTGCTCTCTCCTCTCGATCGAGATCGACTCTCATTCCGCTCGTTGAAGCTGGTGTCGCCGTCGTTCTTCGCCTGTCCAGTCGTGGCAGGCATTAACTCATTTATGTCAATTACCGATATAGAAGCTCGATAACTCCAACGGGGTTCGAATAATCTCATGCTGATTGCGTGCACTCCGAACAAAAAACAGTTCAATAGCTTAAAGTCCGTAAAGTGCAAAAAGCCAGTTCCGTTCCAGAAAACGTTCTGAAATTTCGAAGCGTGACTTTCTTCTATGAAACTTAAATCCATTTCACACGCTGGGACGAGGAAAAAAAAAATCACTAGGGCTTAAAAGAAATGGCGGAAGATCCTTGAAAACGGCGTTCCATTCGATGAGAGAAGCCAGTTGATTATCCGGGGCTTCCTCGTTCCGCCAAATCGCCACAGTGGCCACTTCCTGTCGGGTGGCAGGCGTTCCCAGGGAGAGGAAACCCTTCTCGAGGGCAGAATTAAGCGATCTTTATCCTGATGGGGCTTCCATTTCCTCACGGTTCTTTAAAAGGGGACGAGTCATTGAGGACTATATACGCGGCGAAAGAACATGGAAGTTGCCTGAGCATGGAAATCTGAATGTTTCTCGACCTTATGAACTGCAAAGAGATGATTTCTCCCCCCCCCCCCCCCCCCCCCCCCCACACTCTGGGCGGCCCTGCATGTTGGGGAACATTTTGAGGTCACAGTCGCGTGCTCGTAAGCCCTTGGTCGTCTATCAAAGTCGTGTCACTATCGTCTTGCCGCATTTTTTTTTGCGATAGGCAGTCGTTAGACTATTTTGGCAACCTCGCCGATGATGGCCGATAGTCATGCGCTTGTAGCGTGTTCTCCACGTGCTCTTCATAATAGCTATCTGGTCCTTGAGAAATCCCGCATTTTTTTCAACAAAAACCAACACCGGAAACTCTATCTGGAAGGAAATAGACGGCGCTTCGATCTCATTAGAACTCTCGTGAGCCTACTATGAATATCAAGGAAGAAGTCTGTCTTAGACTGAAGCATAGGTCGCCGACGTCTCGGGCTGGCAGACTTAAGTTAACTTTAGTGTGAACACTTGAATAATCTTTCCCTTTGCGATCGTTGTAAATGGTCTTCCTTACTTCATTTTCAATCAGTGAAGGCCAGGTGTACTGGGAAGTTGGAGTAACAGGCTTATCTGCTATGACTTTAGGCCTATGTCAAGTGATATGATGCCTACTTTCGTAAGACGACCGCAATGTACAGTCTTTCCCAATCATAGACCTTTAAAACTATCCAATAAAATATGGCACTCTAGGCCTTCCCAGTTAAATTATCGATTGCTTTTAAACAAAGAACTCTCCCATGGCATTACCAATGTTATCAATTTTTCAGGCTGTAGACTTGAATGCACCCTTAGAACAGTTTGAAGTCAATAAGGAAAATTAAACTCTTTCAACGACAGCTTCAAGATCTGATCTGAACAAAATTTTATGTGAATTAAAAATGCACACAGTAGATATTTGATGAAGGCTTTTACTTGCTGGGTATTATGTTATATTATTGCCAACCAAGATGACTGAAATGGAATGGGAAAGTTAAGAATGGTCAGTTTGCACACTGATTATTTCTGGACTTCCTGCAATGTTAGAACTCTCCTATTCAAATGATTATTATCATCCTATTGCCAAATATATTAATGGCCAGGCAGCCAGCAGACAATGTTCATCATTGACAGAAATGATGATGCTCAAATTACATTTTGGTGATGGGAACCTTGTTCCTTCGTATGGTAATCCATGGGCTAACCTGTATCCCAACTAACTCATAATTAGCTTTCACCTATTGATAGTTAGAGTTAGCAAACTGCGAATAAACTCACCCATTGGAATTCAATGTCACCAGATTTGCAGATATGTATACTGCTGTACTCCAAGACTGTATACAGTATATTCTATATCAGGACTATGAATTTTCAACTGAAGTTTGCTGATAATTTGATGGAGGAAACATGCCAGTAGAATGCCTGCTTCTATGTGTGCATGTTTGAGTGCATGCACAAACACATGTCCTGTTGAAGCTGTGCTTAGGCCAAATTGAGTCTCCTAGGGATACTTATGTTAGTTGGTATTATGGGGGGGAGGAGAGGATGCATTAGCTTGTGTTCCAGCTATCTTAGCTTAACTGATACCTTGTGCTGTCAGGCTTAGGCCCAATACAGACATTTGTACAATTTCAGTGATTGTCTTGTTAGGCCTATGATAAAGAGCATGAAGGAAATTATACAGCCTAGGTCCAATGATAGTGTGACTGTTGAGGATAAGGGTGCAAAATTGAGTTCACTAATTATTGGTTCCAAGGGATATTCTGTTCTAGTTATTCAACCAGCCCTTTCTATGTAGGAAGAGTGACCAAAATTGAGCTATCACAGTTTAAAAGGAAAAAGTGGAGTGCCAAGATATTCTCATTCAGTCATGAATTTTTGCTTCTTTTTTTTTTTCAAGGAGCATTTAAGCAAAATATTCATTGGAAAAGTAATTTATTTTTATAGAAAACTGCATCTCCAATGAGGAGGCTAAAAATTCTGTCTGCAAGATGCTGATTCCATTCCCTTGAGCAGTTACATTCTTGTGTGCTTTCATCTTTGAATAGATGTTTCAAGCTGGAGACAGTGATTTGGAAGATGTGGAAGTGATATTGGATAGGGCCAGGGGACCTCGGAAATGTTCAGAGTCCTCTGAAAGACTCAAAGTGCAAGTAAGGAAATTGACCTTGGAGGTGAAATGGCCAACACAGTGTTCGACACTTTTGGATTACATTCCTGAAAGAAAAGAACTTTCATCAAATGTATTTGCAACTCTTGAGAACCAATTGCAGACCAGACTGCAAGACAGACCATGGAACTCTGATCATGAAACATCTGTGCATAATTCAAATAGGGCACTCAGGGAACACATACATGAAAATGAAGATCTGCCAAGAGTAGTTGGAAACCTGGAAATGGATGCATCAATTATTGAAAATCAAGAACAGACTAATGAAGATGAATATGGCCCTGGTTCTATTGATTGTACATCCGGGAAAAAGGATATTAAATGTTATGGACATTCTGTAGGGTGTGCAAACTTTTCCCACATGACAGGATCAAGGAAGAGGCAAGTAGGTGCACATTTGACAGCTGCTGTTTTATCCAATTGTAATGAGAAACAAGCAGCTTGTTCAAAGAACCTTTCAAGCAGTGCAATCTTAAAAGGTCAGTCTGCACAAGATGCAAAGTTATCCATCAAATCATCTGGTTCATCCTCTTCTAATAAAAGACAGGCTTCTAGGAGACAGTGCACTGCTGGCACAAACTTATCTGCCCATCCAACAAAAGCAAATGAAGCAGAAGTTGTCCATGAGTGTAAACTGAGATCAGGCATAGCCAGAAAAAGAAAGCTATCAAATTCCCCATCAAGTGGGATTACAGCAGCTCATAGGCAGTGTACGGATAAAGAGGCTTTGTGCCTTACTCCATCTGAGGGTTCACAAGTGGCACTTATCAGTCCTGATACTCCTGAGCTTACATTGCCTCTAGTACATCATGATAAGGAATCTAAAGCCCAAGATGACCACTGCACGACTGGGATTAGCAACATGAATTCTTCTTGCAACACAGTGGAGAAAGTTGAGCTGATACAAAACGAGACAAGGAGAGACCATCAACACCAAAGGCGGATAGGAGAACCCCATATGGACTCACATATGTGCCATCCCAGATCTGTTCAGGAACAAATCCCTCGGTGTGATAGTGTCAATAGTAGTGAAGTAAGTGATGGAGTGCCATTGGATAATAGATCAAAAGAATTTAATAATTTCAGGGAGGATAAGTCAGATGTGTATCCTGTGGAGGTAGAGAAATTATCTAGGTTCTGTTCCTTAGACAGCACTGACAAGCACCAAGTCAAACGCTCAAGTAAAAGCCAAAGGGATGAAATCATCTCATCAAGAGACACAAGCAAAGATGTTCATGAAGGGAAACAAGCAAACAAGTCTTCAGCTTCATATGGTCATAGAACATCACCAGGAGCTCAAGTTTCTGTTCATAGTATGCATTCAATTGAAATTGCAAAATCATCTTCTACTTCTGAAAGCTCTTATGAAACAGTACCTGGAGTGGACCATTCAATAGATAGTGTTTCTGAACAGTTTCCTTATCATGAAATGGGTAAGTCAAAGAGAAAAGTGAAAAGTACAATGTCAGTCCCCTCATGTTCATCTCCAGTGACCAGGGCTAGAAGGCACCAGGAAGCCTCACAGTCTGATTCTTCTCCATCCCTCAGGAGAACTGATAAAACTCATTTGCCTGTTGTCCAGAAGACTCCTGGTCTTCTTGGAAGGAAGAAGGCACAAAAAAATAGGAAGACCAATCATTGGTCCGTGAGGAAAAGAAGAACTCGTCAACGGTCTAAAAGTAACAATGAAAGGTTGTTACCAGTGCCAGTAACTGCTGCTCCTCCCATGTCTCTTCCCATTGAGAGCCCTGGTACCAGGAGGAGAGGGCATAATGTTTCACCAACATCAAGATATCAACTACGAAAGAAGAGTGTCATTGGAGATAGTAGTCCATCCACAGTCTCTCATCTAAGGCAAGGAGCCAGTGACCAAGATGTTTGTAAACAGGGGACAGAGAGAAGTGGAACTTTCAAATCTGGTTGTAATAATATCACAGGAAGTCCAGATGAACACTCACAGGAAGCCTTCTTTGAACATACATCCCAGCAAGTAGGTCTACCTCATAACCCATCCAAGGGATGTCTTTCTGGAACTGATGGTGACACTAAGGTAGGCACATCCCCCAAATCTCACATAACAAGCCAGAATGAAATGAGTGAGGAGAGTTCATTATGCCCATCAGATATCACTCACCTGCCAGAAGCTCAGACAGATTCACATGAGGCTCAATATGAACTGGGAATAGAGCTACCCAATACACACCATGTGCCCATAATACCTATTCTAGACTCTCAATCACATAACACCTCTCATCATACACATCTTGAGGGCTCAGGGAGCTCAATGAGCTCAATGGACCCTGCTCATATTTCACTTGAGTGTGGTGAAGATCATCACAAAGAAGGAGAATTAAAGAAAAGGCAGAGGATGAGATTTATTAAATCATCCTCACTTTCTCTTGAAACAGAAGGCAATCAGGCAACTCAATGTGTTGATGGGCTTCCTCTGGATTCTCAGGAAGGGAAATCTCGAGAATCCTCACCATCAGTGAGATTTCGACTACGAAGGAAGACTCTTTTTGAGGAGCCTTGTCCCACCTCCATCCCTGATGTTGAGCAGGAGGCTAAAGTTCAAAATGTTCACAAGAAGACTGAGACAAGTAGGACTACAAAATCTAGTCATAAGAACAGGGAAAGTCTAGGCACTTCGAGTAATCAGTCCCAAGAAGCTGTCCTTGACTGGACATCATCACAGGTAACTTCTCAAGGGCTCAGCCATGAAGAAATGATGAAAGAGTATTCATCAGTGGGAAGTATCTCTGCTGGTAATCATGGGTTGAAGGTAGATAATGCACCTGATTCTATTGAAGTTAACCAGCCCGAAATGAGTGAAGAACCTTCAAGCTTGACAAGTAATACCCAAATGCAAAGTGCTCTGAGGAATGGCTGTAGAGGCAGTGGACAGGAAAATGAAAGCCTGCCTCTGGGTTCACATCCTGACACAGAGATCTCAATATACTTTCCTTTTGTGTATAAAAGTGATGAAGCTCATGGAAAGGTTGAGTCAAAGGAGAAAAAAAAAAAGAGGATTAAAGGGATAGCATGTAAAAGAACTTTGGATGGAGGAAAAGTCTCAAGGAATTATGACATGAAGCTAAATTCACTTACTCTAGATCCTAAGAAAGAGAGACAACTTTCTTCATCAAAGAGGTATTGGTTACGAAAACAGCATGTCATCAGTGATTCTGATCCATCTTCCATCTCTGATCATGAACAAGTGGCAAAAGATTTAAATGTTCATGAGAAGGAATCAAAGAAAATTAGAGCTGCCAAATATGATTTTGGTAATGTTGGAGAGAGTTTGAGCAGTGCAGCCAAACAATCACAGGAAGCAACAAAGGAATATTCATCCAAAGGAAGTCTTACTGATGATCATGGGCTAAAGGCAAAAGACTTATGTGAATCTCTCTCAGTGAACCAACATGAAGAGCATGAAAAGAGTCCTTCAATGGCAAATGACACCCATGTGCAAGAGGCCCATAAGGGTGCATTTAAATATGATGAAATGAAAAAAAAGGGACTATCTGATGATCTCCTGGTATCAAGAGCTCCATTTCATGAACTTGAATCCTGTAACATCCCTTCTTGCATTCCTGGAACACATCCTGATGCAGATACCTCATTGGACTATGAACCTATTTTGCATGAAACTGACAAAGATGACAATGAAAAGAAGGAATTGAAGGATGGAAACACAAGAAAGCAGGTATTTCCATTTGAGGATTTTGATCCAGTTTCCATTGCCAGAAGGAAGAATTCTTTCTCTCAAGAGGTACAGAACAGAGAGTTCTCATCTCCGATTAGGAAATCTCAAGTTTGTAAAAAGAGTGACAATGCTGGCAGTGGTTCTACCAGTACTATTTGTGAGGTGTCAGAAACAGCTGGAATGTTGTTACCACCATGTTCTACAACCACTAATTATGCCAAAACTTCCCATGAAAATGGAGCTGAAATTGTCAAAGTTTCACCTAACACTACCCAAAAGTCATCAGCTTACCAGGAACAGGGAAATGGGAGGCAGGAGAACCTTTTGGATGACCCAGAGAAGGTGCAACTAGAAGATTCAGATCAACAATCTGCCCAATGCCATCCTGGACTCTCATTTGAAGATGCTGAAGGGAAACAATGTAGTCCTGTTGCTACTAATGCCAGTGATATGGTTCAACCATCAGCATGCACCCCTTGCTTTATATCCCTTCCAAAGATGTTTTTGGGGAATGATGTGAGTAATGATGGACTTGCTTCTAGTACCTTCAGAAGTGAAACTGAAGAAATGGATTATGAACCTGAGGCTTTTGGAAGCTGTGTTAATTATGCTGATAGCCCTATCAGAAGTACCTCAATGGCTGACCCCACTAAAGACAGAAACAGCTATGAAAAAGGGAATGCAATAGCATCTGATTCGAGTAGCAGTGATTCAAGCAGTTCAGATGATGATATGAGTTCCAGTAGTTCTTCCTCGAGCCTTTCTTCTAAAGCGGGAAATTTGGGGCAGCTGCCTAGTGGATCTTGTTCATCTTGGTCCAATTCATCCAAGGAAGAAGCTGGGACCAGAGAGAAAATTTCACTGCATTCTGATGATGAGAAAGGACCTCAAAAAAATGAAGACCCAAAGCTGTCAGAGTCAGCTGACAATGAAGATGGTAGACAAAGTTTCAAGTGGAAGAAACAGAGGACATTTTCAGCACCAGGATCCATAGTTGAAGAGGTAGGAGAGGATGATGCCATCGTTATTGATGATGAGGATGACTTACCAATTCTCTCAGTGAGTGATACTTCTGATGGTGGTTGTGAAGAAGAAAAAGGCAGTGAAGGTTCACAGCAGGATTCCCATGGAATGTCTGTGACATCTATCACTAAATCAGATGATTCTCAGCTATGGATCTCTGTTCACTCCTGCAAATCTACAGCAACTCCAGGGGGTGCAAGGCATGAGTAAGCACTTCACAATTTCATTTTCAAGTGTGTTGATTTCTGATGAGTTGTATTTGTGATGGGATCTTGTTTTCCTGTTCTCACTCATAACACATTCATTGGGAAAAAAGATCCTCCCAATACCTATGGTTCTCCTCTCATCCTTTTGTGGTATTCTGGGAGTCATGATTGAAAACTGCTGGGGTAGCTTATTATACAGATGCCCAATAAGTCACTATACCTTTAAAAAAAATAACATCTACTAAACAGTTGGTACAGAGAATAAGTAACATTAACTGACCCAAGCATGTGATTTGGAATTTTCTTTGTCAAGAAAGGAGACAATTCTGAGCTTGGAAAGTGCTTCAAAATGCCCTCTGCCTGTATCAATACATTTGGCATGAGGCTTGGCACCAAAAAATTGCTGAAACTCCCTTTGAACTCTGACAGGACTATCAAAGACCTCCATCCAGGTGGAAATTTTTTTGTTGTTCCAACCTCAATTGTGAAGCCTTTTCTCATGAATATGAATTAACCCTTTCAGACTTGGCATCCATCCCAATGGACATTGGACATTTACATTGTGTCTATGGTAATTTCTTAGGATTCTCGTGACTTTGTGCTCCATATTACGCTACAATAGGAGCAATAATGCATGGCTCAGTTCCATCAGAGGCCTTCTTTCACCCATTAGTTTTGTAATCTTCAGTTATTTATTTAAGTGTGTAATATATAATATATGGTATGATATGGTACATTTATACAAAATATGAAAACTACATATAAAGCAAGAAAATTTCAATTACAATCACAAAAGAGCTAAAAAATGCAAAAAAGGATATTATTCCGATAGCAGCCTTAATTCAGGTCTGAAAGGGTTAAACTGAATGATTTTTTTTCTTCTATTTCTCAAGTCTATCAATCTCCATCTAATGTCTTTATTTTTATTGTCAGCCCTTTTCTTCATACTCTGCCATCAAGGACTCTGTTTCTCAGTGGATACTAGCATAACTCTGACATATTTGAGTTCTGTTCCATGTCCCAGGTCTGTGATCTGCATTCTGCATCTGAGGTTATTCAGGTTCAGTTCAGTTCAATTAAGTTGGGAGATATTTGATTTGCTAGAAATATTGGATTGAGAACCACAATTGTAGAGAACTGTCCTATGGGTAAAAATATAGGTTTTACATTACTGTACCACTTAAGAGTGCCTGGCTGTAATTAAGGCTTCACAATCTCATCGTTATCTGTTGTAGTTGTCAGCTTTGCAGCTACTTTGCAAAATTGGACCTTGTGGTTATTGCATTGGATTTGTTCAACCTTTTTTGTTTGTAGCCAATCAATAATAATTATCTGCATTTTGATGCAAAGCTAACATAATATTCTTGACATGGCATATGATTGTGAATATAGGTAGTGGAAAGTTTTTCAGTTATGTATTACTACTGATATTTTCCAGGGTTGTGAGTCAGGTGGTGGAGACTGAGAATTATGAAAAGATAGAACACATGACAGGACCCTGTCATCTATCACAAGTAAAACCTTCCAAGACTGCATCCCCAGAAAAGTCCCCAGCCAATAAAAAAGGTGACTTAACATCTCTGTGTAGATTGTGATCAATGTCTTGTATATAATTTCCATCTGTCTCCATGGTTTCATTAGTTATTCCAGTTTTTAAATTGTACCATACTGCTTGGGGCAATGTGACATATGGTATCAGAGTTACTCTATATATACTCAAGTAGTATATCTTGTGCCATGTGATTGTCCAGTGATTATGATTTTCCAGGTCTAGATCAGTGGAAAATTATTGAAAATATCATGCCAGTAAGTACTGGTAAATTACCTCTGGTAAATTACATTCTGATAATTCGCTAGTATTTACTGGAAAGTTGCTATCTATTTTTTTTCTCATTATTTTTGGACCATTTTCCCATTTTGAATCGTTAGAACTCTATAGGATGACAAGAAGTGATAAAAAAATTAGACATACAGTGAGGGTTTTCTAGTTTAGACTCATCACTTGAGATGCTTTTTTGCTGCATATGGTTATCCTCTGATCATGACATTTTTACCAGGAGGCAGTGAACAGAAGCAATTCATGAAATGTATTATCTATGTTACCTTTCACATGATTCTGGATACAGGAGTCAGAATTAATTGATAGATTACTTCAGAGTAATCCTGATCATCTAGCTGTTGCCAACATTGTGAATGGTGATCTCACTGATAATTGATCACATGATGAGAACAAGAAAGTAACTAATTTCTGCTGCTGTTGCTGTATAACTTTCTTTCGTGCTCTTTTATATATTATTGATAAGGGGAAGGAGAAAATTTTTTCTAGCCACCCTGTATTTTGAGGAGTTATTATATTGATCTAGATTGCCTATATGCTACAAGTTCTATGCATTACTTAGGCTGACATTGCTAAGTAATGTACAGTCTTAAGTTTGTATCATCAGTTGCATGCGACCTTGAAATATTACAGTAGACTCTGCTTGTTAGAACACTCCTTGGACAGTTGAGTATTATACTATTCTCTGGAGTGTTCCAATATACCAAACTATTGATGTTTGTGGTCTCTTTACCTCCTGGTCCTACTCTCGTCTCATGGAAAAGTCAAGTGATAGCTGCTCATGACCTTAGTTCTACAAGGCAAATGCTGGGCTAGTGGAAATTTTCCTAGAATGCAGATAAAAGGAGAACCGATTGGATGATTTTTGAGTCATTTTGAAAAAATGTTATGAAGTTTTGAGAACATTTGTTTCTTTAACCTGTTGAGGAGTATGACCATACATGTATGGTTTCGAACTTCACTTGTTAATTTCTCTCTATCTACAAGGATTGATATAGCTTGTCATATACAGAGGGATATTTGCCTTTGAGCACATAACCTTTGTCCTAGCATCTATGATCACAGAATACAAGTAACCTTCCTTGGAAAGGGCAGTATTGTACCTCTCAATTGTACCCTCCTGTTTTGCTTCTCATTTGGTTTAGTAGGTTAATCAAATAACTGATCTTTCTGTGGCTTGCACTAATTTGTCTCATGATTATAATCAGGTGTAGAAGTTAACTTTCATAGGCCTCATATTTCCTAGTGAGAAGTCCTCCAACTGCAATCTTGAAATATGGATAGGCTATAACTAGAATCAGTTGAAAATCCTATTGCAAAATAGTGAAGTACAGGCTTCCCTCCCTTAACACTGGTTCTTTTTGCATGGATTCACACGTGCACTTTTTTTTTTAATGCCAAAAATTGAATAAACTCAAACCGTGTATCTGTGAACCACACCCCATACTTTCTGAATACAGGGAAGCCTGTATATTAAGTTTAAAGAGAAAATGCAGGGGCACATCCAGATAATTTTTATAGGGAGGAGATATGGAAAGTGATGTTTTAACTGTCTTAGCACCCCCTGCCAATATTTCAGCTGCTTTCAAATATGACTCCTTTTTCCCTCTGGCTCTACCCCTGAGGAAGCATAGCTTATACTGCAAAATAGTTGCTTTTAAAGTTTATTTTCCAACATTTTTGCCAGACTGTAAAAAAAGTCATGTAGGCTTATCCAACATTTTCCTATAAATCTCATTTTGAATTAAATATTAATGTAATATTTTCCTTGACAAGCAGGAGATCTGCAAAAGGAAAAGTTAGCTGTACTGTAGAGCAAGCAGCATTTTGGATTGCAGCTTTAATCGGCTGTGAGATTATAGATTCTATGTACATTCCCAATCTGAGATCATGGATTTTCACCAATTGATGAAAATATTAACTTAAGTAGAGTAGGACTTACAAAAATGAGACATTGAGGTGTTAATTACTGCCAAATGTTGGGCTTCATCCTTGATCCTCAAATGGAACTGTATGGTGACACTATCTGCCAAAAAATTTAAAAAGATTGAATTCCCATTGTTGACATTAAAATTTTTCAACTGATTGCATTTCATTGTTTTGTATTTAAAAAGTAGATGCAAGAATTTTGAAAATGTTAAGGGATGGTAAAATAAAGCATACAGAAAAAAATGTACATAAAACATGTCTGCATAAGGAATATTGAGTTTCCTTTTGTTCTCTCCAGTTGTTATAAACTGAGCTCTTTTTTTAAATTAAGAACTTGTTTTTTTTGTTTTGTATTACTGGAGAATCTCTTCAGTTGTAAGCACAATGATAATTATAACAGATATGACAGGGCACTAAGCACTATTTCTTATATCACCTATATGGAGAAAGTAAATTATTTTATGGGTCAATAACTTGGGAACTATATCTCCCAAAGTCTTGAATTTTAGCACTTGTTTTTAGGGCAGCATAACTTACCCCCTTGAATTTTGTTTCAAAAGGTGAAATTTCCATTTGGACTTGAGAGGCCTTTAGGGCCTTTGCTGAGATAGTGTAACATTTTTCCTTTACTGTAAGTCTAGTGATGTTCCAACTATTTGCCATTAAACTACTGCAAAAGTATACTTTTATTCATACACAGTGCCATTGTGCCCTCTTGGGCATGATGGACTACATCTACCTGAATATATTTGATGACAAGTGCTGGTTCAGTTTACAGGTTTTTCATCTATGTGAGTAGAATTGTTTGAGGGGAATGTCCATAGTTTGGCTCAGGCCTGAGCCAAACAGGGATTGTATCTTAGATAAAATATTGGTGCCACTCTGCCACAGATGTCCACATGAAAGTCTGACTGAATTCCTATGTAATTTTCAGAGAAAGAAACATTTGGAGCCATTTTGCGGAATATCTACCAACGGAGTTGCTACCAGCACATCTTCTCAGAATGTTTTGGAACCTGTCGTTATAACCACAATGTAAGTCTCAGGGCATTCTCACTTGGGATTGTTACCCTAGTTGAATGCATTATTTGGCAGGATACTTTTTTCAGTTTTTTCATTCCAAGTTTTTCCATTTGAGCAGGATTGCAAAATGCAATTATTCCATTTCATATCATTGCTCTATAAGGTAATGCTTTGATTGGTTTAGCTTTACATTTATTGGGTTATGGTAATTGGATTTTATTCTGAGAATTAGAATATATATGTAACCCCATTTGTCATCCCCAGATTTTTCCTCTTATTCAAAATCTCTCAAACCAATGTGAGGTAAGCTGAAGGATATATATGAGGTTAACCATGTAGTACATGTAAAAAAAATGTATGGACTGTTATAGTAAATTCCACTGAACTGAGGCTTAATATAATGAACCTCTATAGAATTTATTTTCTTTTTTATTAGTTCCTGGCTGTTGGCTCATCCACTTGCATGTAGAAAAGTTCCTCTGTAATGAAATTCTGTGGAAGAAATTGCTTGGTTTCATGAAGTCACTTTTTATCAAAAGGAACAAAATTGTTTGGTATTACAAAGTTTAAGTTTGCTGCCATGTCAGAGCTACTTTTTTTCTGGCTTTCTTGGAAATTCATATCTAAATTTAGCATGTTCCACCCTCTTATGGGTGTGTTCATGGGGAATAAGGGAGCTCTGTCTGTCAGTCTTCTCTTCTCAGGATAAGGGTCAGGCCTTGTCCAGAATTCTGCCCAAACAGGCAATTGAAGCTTTTGACTATCTTTGGCTGTTTTTCAATTCAATTTTTGAGCCAGAAACTTTTTAAACATTGAGTGCTTTGCTGACCATAGCTCAAAAAATCATCCATAAAGGAGGGTAGCAGACAACCATTTGGGACTTTGTTTCCAGTGACTAGGCAGCATTGGTGACTCATCTGATTTTTATTATGCCTACATAAGTACATACTACTGTGAGTGCACCCATTTAGGTACATTCATATTTTGGATTATGTATTTTTTCAATATGACATGCACTTAGTCATTCATATTTTTTATGAATGAAAAATTCATGAAATGATGACATTTTGAAGTGATATTGGCATAAGTTTAACTGGTCTCATTTTTCCAGTGAAATGTGGGGAATTCCCTGAAACTAATTTCCCTTATTGCAAAATTTTTTAGCCTGTCCTTTCAAGTTTTTTTATATTGAGCATTGACTGTATTTGTTGGAGCTCTAGCTGCCAAACTGCTGAATTTTGAGTGTTGAAACTCTCCACAGGCATTCTTGCATCCAAGGGTTTGCCCTGTTCACACAACAAAGCTTTCTCTGGCATGACTCTTTTCCTTATTTTTGCTAATTACTCAATTTTTCAATGGCAGAGAAAACTATCCAATTCTGTCCCCTGATATCTTAGTTGCCATTAGATACATCTCAACTAGTAAAATAAAATTATCCCTGGGGTTGACTCAATTAGTGCCAAAGATTTAGAGTAGTAGGGAAGAAACTGTAAATGAGGGGCTAGGTAGCAGCATCTCAGAGAAACAAGGGTCCTGCAACTGAAGTGACATGGTACCTAAATTGTCACTGCACTGAGTCATTCCTGATGGTTACTTTTACTTTTCAAGAAAGAGTCCTCTTCAGCTCATGGGAAGCAAAAGGGGTCTGCCTCCTCATTGTCAAAATAATGTTGAAAGGTACACTAGAGTGCATAATGAATTTTCGGCTCACAACTGTTAGCCTTGTGCACCAATTGGATTGGGCCCATAAACACTTGTTTCAAAATTAGTGAGATCTATGTAATGACACTAATGATGTTAGTGGACCCAAATGGATATGAGACCATAGGGTTTTGGGCATATTCCTTTGCAAGGAGAATCTTCCTATCACAAGGAACAATTAGTAAAAGCATTAAGTCATTGCAACAGTATTACTTTGAATGCTAAAATTTGGCATCTTAATATGGCAAAAATCGCATTTTATAGTTCATGCTAATTTTTATGCTTGTGTCCTACTCAAATGGAGCAAATGATTGGTGGCATTCTCCCTGGTGTTGCCTCATCTAGAGTCTACTCTCCAATCTTTCGATTGAACTATATTTTACTCTAGCCTCTCATGTTGTATATAGGGTAGACATACCTCAGAAGTCAAGTGTTCATGTATGTAAAGGTCCATCATTTGGAGCTTTGTCACCTCCATGTTTCTCACTAAGAACAAACTTGTGATTAGTTTATTTGATATACCATCTCTTCTAAATCAGTGTCCTTTTCTTTCCAGGTGATGCTTGCAGATGTAATGAGTCATCAAGAGGAGCTCTCATGGGACTATGATCAGGCTGTATCACATTTTCACTGGGTCATGGGGAAAGAAAGGCGTTTTAGACGTTTGAAAATTGATATTTTTTGTCACCTGGTGGAGTCACTGCTAAACGCAGATCAGAGTGGAGAATCACTTAAGGTAATATGCCAATATGGACCACGAAGCCCTCGAGTTCTTGACCTACTAATGAAGAAAGTGGAGGAAATAGGTACAAAGCTACAGCCCTTTCAACAATTGCACCCACTGATTCAAAAAGTCAGAAAGCATGCATATGTCCCAACTGCAACACAGATGATCTGCATCCTGGACATCATGCTGTATCACAGGTGTACTGAAGGACTCCTTGATTGGGCTGACTACCTTGTCCAGCAATCCCTCATGGTTTTGCCAAAGAGTATATTGAACCGAACAGTGTCTTTGGTGTTGTCAACTACAAAGCAGGATCCTCATCAAAACTGGCTAACCAAGTTTTATGCTGTGTTAGCAAAAATGAGTGAGAGTGACATTTGCAATATGGACCCATATCATGCTACTCTTGTCATTGATGCTCTGGATCAGAATGGTTATGGTGCTGAGGCTATGTACCTTCGAAACATGGTGTTCCCACAAGAAGCATCTGTATCTCAGCAAAGACATTCCTCTGGTCCAGTATGGGCCTCTGCTGCACAGCGTCAAATAGATTTACAGAACTCTGCCTTCGGAAAGAAGCGAATGAGTGATCTGATGCATAGAATGCCTATCCAGGATGGCAGTGATTCAGAAGAGAAGAGTCAAGTTGAATCACAGAGACAGGTCTTCATGCTCATGCAGCAGAATGCATATGGAGAAGTGAGTTTTAGTTTATTCTGTAGTTAACTCTTTCCCTGGCACTGAGTTTTTTCTCAAATGCATAGTTCACATCATAGCAAAAGGTCATATGAAGTAGAATATAGGTAGAGAAATAACATCTTTCCTTGTGCTATGCTCTGAGGTCAAGTATACTTGTCAGCTGGCTAGTGGCATGACTTTCTGTCATTGAGTTTACTCAATTGCCGTGGTGAGATGGTTATTCACACTTGTGTGGGAAGAGTGATGATGGAAAGCAAGTATAATCAGAGTTGCACCAGAAGGATGGGTTCCTGTAAGTGAGTATCCTTGGGAGCTACCTTGAAATGGCTAATTTCTCATATTTTATTCTGTTTGGTTGTGTACACTTGACTTACACATTGGTACAAGTTGTTGCAGTCCTGCTACATATTCTCCTGAAGAAAGGACTCTGCTGTTCATTGCAATATCATTCAATATTGTTCCTATCAGTAACATGTCTACATGTCACAATATCATTTTTAATTCTTATACTGCCCCACCTTGATAATTTTGCTTTTCATACAAGACTATATTTAGAAGAAAAAGGTTCATAATTGGAATAGAAAAATTACACATGGTAGATTTCATCATCATATGCAATTCCACTGCATATGATGAGTTATAGTATGGGTTGGGTTATGTAGAGTGGCTTGATGTAGGAAAAACCTAAATGGTAAAGTCTTTGTTACAATGCATCATCCCTAAATGGTTAGGCGTATGGAGTGCAGGTAGGAAATTGTAGGCATCACCATGTGGCACTACTCCAAACTGGTAACATGTGGCTTGCATAACAAAGGGTAGAAATGAGCAGGTGCCTCCATGGCATTGCCCTGGGATTTCCCCATGAGAGGCCCATTGCTCCCTCAGAAATTCACCAATTTTCTTTCCCTGTTTGTGGACTAAATAGAAATGCATGACTGAGCTACACCCTGAGGTTTCATTGTATTTCCAATTCTGACAATAATGGATATATGATATCATGTAATATCATGCAATATTACATGAAACAGTATGCTGGAGAGTGGGAATGAACCTCAATAACTGTTATTTTTTGTTCTCTACAGATTGCACAGTTACTGATGGATTTGGATATGAGCACTAAGGCAGGACATATGTGTGTCCAACAAATCACTAAGCATCTCATATCCAGTGGCTGTCCTGGTCAAGATTTTGATGTTTTTGTGACCAAGATCTGTGAGTTTCATAGAAGCAGTTTGACCTATTGACCTATAAAAAATTCCATTAATAAAAACTCAGTTTTAAGGTAAATTAATATTTCATTGAATCAATATTGACTAATACTATGCTTTGCAAATAGGTCTTAGGAGTTTACAGGAGTACTGCAATACTTTTTGGAGAAGCTAGTTGATATTCTGGGGTTCTCAGCCTTTTTCTCCTCTAAGGTGGCATGAAGGACACACCAAATGTGCCTGACCAAGTCAAACATTCCCATTGCTTGTTTGATTCTATCATCCCCACCTGCAATCCTTATGCAAAGAACATATTAATTTATGCAGAGTAAAGAGCACATGTGATACTGAATTTGTGATACTATCTTGGTCTAAGAGTGATACTGAAACCTCTCATGAATGATGTGCTTGGAACCCCTGTGCTATCTTGTGCTAGAGTTGAACTTTGGATAATAAGCAATTTCCATTTCTGTTTTATCCAGTTGAGCACATGAAGGACAAGTATCCATCATCAGACATCCTGCAAAAGGTGGCAGAAATAGCAGCCTGTCTCCTATCGCACTTGAAGGAGCAGAAATGTTCTGACAATGAATTTCTTAGAGTTCTTGATGTTGTGATGCTTCAAAATCTTGATCTCATGCAAGTCTCAAAAGTAAGTGTAGAAGCTTCGTGTGTCCTCACAGATTTTATGAGAGTTCCTCTTCAGCCCTTTTGCCACAGTGGTAGACTTTTCTCACACAGTGGCTAGTGCTCCCAAACCTGTGTTGATTAATTTACACAGCAAAAGAGTTACATTTTATTACTGAATTTGTTGCAGCCTTGCCATACATGGTTATTTCTTGGTGAACCTGCTCTTTTTCTACATAATACCATTGCAACACAATCCTTTTTTCTCAGCACTGTACCTTGCATCCTGTGTGTAATTTTCTGACATTTGTTGAAGCTCCTTCATCATGGCTGTTTTGAACTCAATGCAGAGTTGATGTCCTTTCAGCTTACTCTTTGGTTTGGAAAAGAATCTATAATCCCAGGAGGGTCAGGTCAGGGGAATAAGCTGGATGATGTTTGTTTCCAGCATCAACTGCAACTTTCATATCCTTTGGTGTACCAACAATGTGTGGACAAGCATTGTCCTGGGTCAGGAACCTCATATTGTGCAGGAATTCAGGTCTTTTATGAGAGCAAAATGCATTTCTTGTGAATTATTTATGCTATAGTCCACCAGTAATAGTGGTTCACAGTTCCAGCAAAATGTGGCAGCAGCAGTTCAAAGTGTAGAAGCACAGCAGACCCATCACCTTGCCTGCTGATTTTGCAATACAAATTTTATTCAGGATTGGATATGAAGGGTGTTTCCAGATGGAACCTTGGTGTAATGCTTTTGCTAGTGGAACTTAGTAGGTAGCAGTAGACAGTCACTGCCATATGCAGTGTTCATTTCAGCAAGTTTGTCTGCTGCAGACATTCCATGCCTGGCATAGCATGGAATCATGTGCCCTTGCTCTGTTTCCATTTAAATTATCATCACAGTAGATGTTACCTACATTATTAACAGCAAATGCTTTTAAATCACGAGAATAGGTTCACGTGACTGAAGCATCTCACACGAGTACTTGCATCAGCTGCATGACCATGAGTACTAGGATCAGCTACCATCACAAGGTTGCATTACAATCAGTAGGAGCAATGCAATGTTGCCAGTCTTGAATGACAACCCTTGTGTGTTATGATATCTGATGACCCTACAGGCCTCTTTTTGGTCTTGGTTATTGTTAGGCCATTTCCATGTTCCTGAATCCAAAACTTTTTTTTGGGTCAGTTATCATCTTTTGCTGACTGTCAGACTGTCTTCCATATACTTATAACTCATGGGTGCAATAAATTAAAAATAAAGAATTAATATCTCTTTATTTATAGGAATCTCAAAGGAAAGAGTCAGGATATATCATCTTACTTTACATCCAGCTCCTTGGGAAAACCAATCGCCTTCCTGAAGTTGTGCCAAAGCTGAAAGGTAGGAATCACATGATAGCATAATTTCTTGGAGGCTCTTCCAATTTCTTCATCTCTTTTGAGTGGCAAAATATCTGGCAATAGTGTAAGACTTATGCAGAGCCTCACAATTTAATCATTTTCAATATTTCCCACAGAACTGAGAGGAAGTCTTCCAAGCTTGAAGCCAGCACATGTTGATTTTGCCTGTCATGTGATGAAGAAAGTCATAAACAAGTGCATTTTGAATGTGAAGCTCTGCAGTGAAGCACTGGAGTGTTTCCGGTTTCTCCTTGAAGTTTGTCAAGATGGCATCTTGCAGGACAAGATTGGGGAAAGTAGTTGTGATGGTAAGGTTCATGGGTAGGAGAGTTGATTTTCATTCAGGAATGATTCCCATTTGCACTAAAGGTAAAAGCAAAATCTTTCCCAAGTCTGAAAAAGAGTGAATTCTTGCACTATTGAAAATCTTAAAAATAGCATATTGCTCTTTTCAATCCATTGGATCTTTCAGATCCAGGTCCACCCCCATGCCCTAAGAAATGAATTGAAATTCTCCTGGGAGATCATTCTTACACTGAGGGGAGAGGTGACTATTCCATCAATGTACCCTCGCCCCAATATACTAATCTGGGACATTTTAACCCCTGCAGTGATCCCTGATTGCAGAAACCTCTATACCTGCTTGAGGGTTCTCCAAAGCCCAGATGTGCAATTTCTGCCTTTTCACTTGGCCATCCAAATGAAAATAAACCTCATCAGAGAACCAGATTGTTTCTTGAACATTGGAATTCTCTTCGAGAAAGTTAAGAAACAAGAGGCAGAAATCTGTTCATCATACTTTGTCAAAATCAGAGGTTAATGCACCTGAATTTGGTTGGGAATGGTGTTTAAGTTCATGATGAATAATATTTTGAGTCTCACTTTTCTTCATGTCTAGCAGTTGTGAAAACCAACAAATTTACTTCTTGGTTGCATAGTAAGGCTGAGCTGACATGATCAGCATATTCTTGGGTGTTCACTGTTGAACCAACTTTGTCAATATGTTGATCAAGAACTCAACAAAGTTTTCAAATTGCGATATGTTTTTCTATGGATTTTCTTTTGGGGCTTTCCTCAACTCAAAATTTGAATGTAAGTCTTGTTGAACCTGCTCATTGCTATCTGTGTGAGAAAAAAATACTTGATTCCATGTTCTTTGTTTCAACCAAAGCAGGATTACTGTTAGAAACATTAGAAGTTACTCTAGGAGATACTTTTGGCATGCTCTCACTGTAAGCTTTCTGTCATTTATGGAAAACAGACTTCAAAAAGATATAATTATGATGCTACTATTGGGAAGTATTCTGAGTTTTGATTCAGTAATAAAAATATTGTCCTTAGCTAATGACTCATGGGGCATCCTGTATGTCCTGCATATACTACTTACTCCAATTAAAGTTTTCCATGTACAGGAGGACCAAACTCATATCTTGAGCAAATTGAAGGACTGCTGGCAGGCATGGCAATGTCTGTGTTCAACTCCAGATCAGCAAGCCATATCAACAAGCTTAAGGACCTAGCAATGGAGAAGAAAGAGTTTTTCTTTACTCCTGTTCATCTTCCTATCTTGCGGGAGATGGTTGTACACTTAGTGAACCTAGAAGTGCTTGAGGATGCCAAAGCATGGTTTACCATATGCTCCAGGAAGGGGCTCCTTGTGCCATTTTCAAAGGTATGGTGTATAATCTTATGCTGAATCTTTATTGGCTATGTAACTACAAATTGCTGGCTTGCAACCTTTTCCTTAAATATGGATTAAAAGAGGTACCATCTAAAAGAGGTATTTAAAATAAGGAGTTGCACTAGCTGCTACTTGCTCCAAGAAGGCAAAAAAGTTTATAAAAATTTTCTTTTTAAAGCATTGAGAGAAGAAACAAGCAAGGCATACAGAAAAAAAGTAGGAGATGCAAGTAAAATGCTAGCTTTTGGGCTGGAGACCCTTCTTCTAGAAAAGACTATGAAGACAGTCGTGGGGCACAGTCTCGTGTCCTTTCATATATGTTACATTTGTAAGAAACTTTCAGAATATGACCTAATGAAATTGTTCATTGTGTGATAGTCACTTGTGTTCATATTTCAGGCTAATGTGACTCACCCACAGTGCATTCCATCAAGCTTCACCACAGAGGAGATGGCACTAATCATATATACCTTGCTGAGAGATTTCATCTCTACCTCACAAGTTACACTTCATTTTAAAATTGAGGTAGGAAAACAATTTAAATACCCAGTTGCCATTGAGACAGTTTGCCAAGGTCTTTGATTTTCTCATGAAAATCAAAGACCTTGGCAAACCAATGTTGGTAACCTCAAGACCCTTTCCCTGTCTGGTTTTTCTAACCCAGCAGTGCACAATAATGAGTAACAGGGTTCACTCTAGGAAATCATATCTGGATATCCATAAAACTGATACGTTTGATGCAGTGATCTCATTTACAAAAAATGTTTAGGCCTATGTTGATAGCACCCATGCTCTACCAGATCTCTTTGCTGGTGGCACTAGTACCTCTTTTCAATATTTACATGCATGATTTCTATTGAATTTTAATTCTTGGATTTTTCTGCCAACTGTCAGGTCAACTGTCCTAATTTTGGGGGAAAAGTTGTGCTGGGTCATCTCACAGATCAAGATAAAATTTTTCATACAGCATGCTTTCACTGAGATTTGTTTTGTGCTGGCCCTCTTGGTTTTGAGATAAGGGGTCACAAAGTTTTGACCTTCATGGGGTGCCTTGATGCCATTGCAGCATAAAATATTAAATATCTCAGGAACTATTAGCTACATTAATTAATTTTCTTTAGCTTCTTTGAAAGCTTTTCAAGAGCTCTTTTACTATCTGATATTGAAGTCATGCTCACTTCTTAAACAAGGGAGTCATCATCAAAACCTTTGAACTTGATTTCCTGAAAAATCTACTTTTCCAATTTTTTTTTATTTTCAGAAGTATAGTAAAGCCATCTAGGTTTGAACAATATATTGCTCATTGTTACAAACTAAGCATATGTGAGGTTGTACCTTGAAGTGGTTCTTCACAGCTAGGAAGCAAAGTTCCTCAGTTGACCCCAAAGATTTCACAATGCTGTTTTTGCAATTCCTGAATAATGAATTTAATGAATGAAACATGAATTTGATTAATTTTACAGTACTGTACATTGGTCTAGTATTTGCTACATGGAGACATTTAATACACTTTCTTGAAGCTATCTTGTTTTGAAATTTTCATTCAAAGTAGTGATATGCTTTTTAAAATTTTTGTGAGTTGATCAGTTTTTGAAATGCAGTTATAGCATAAACTTATTATATTTGTCCTCTGCTGTTCTTAGCTTGGAAGTTCCAGAATTACCTCCATATAAAAACACTCCTCGTAAATGAACCTTCTTTATGATTACCCTGATGTTGGCCTTTGTATTGGAGTGTGAAGATGATCAGATAGGAAACAAGAATTTCTGTAAATATCAAAGTTTTACTTTCCTTGCAAATTATGTCCTATCTCCACTCAACTTGGCAAATGAGACATTGACAAGAATTCCTTCAAAGTCAAAAGTCAAGCCAAGATCTCTATAGCCTGCATGAGGACAATATTAGTTCCTTATCCTTATCATTAACCACCTTATCATTAACCACCTTATCATTGAGATGACAAGACCAAAAAGTCAGGGAGGGGACATGGAAAGTTTACCTGATACAACCAAATTATGTAACTTTGAATGGATTCAGCAAAATTTTTAGTTTTTTTTAATAGCGTTCTGTACAGTACTGCTACCCCCATATAACCATGGCAACTATAAGGAGAATCACATATAGCAACTTGGTTGTCATAGATGATTCCTGATGGCCATCCAGAAAGCCACCAATGTGAAGATGAGTTGTTCAATATCACACATGGAATAATTCTGAGGGTATAAACATTTAGCACAGTATCTGGGAATAGCTATAAAAGATGTTTGAAATGTCCTCCATTCATTTGGTGTTCCCAAGGCTAGCAAACATGTAAATTACTCATGGTTCTGGCATGCATCTGGTGTAACTTTACTGCAGGCTTCCTGAATGGTTTTCTGGAGTCTTGCTAGATTGGCAGGGTGTCAATTGAATTCAATTGGCCTCATTCTTGATATATCCCCATAAAAAAGTATTTCATGTGGTTAAGGTCAAGAGAATGAACAGTCAAAGAGTTTCCTGCATTGGGAAATTTTAAATAAAGGTGAGAGGTGGGGGGGGGGGAAGAGAGAAAATGCTTGTTTTTAAACACATTAGTTATTATTTCAAAAACATTTGCATTAAATATATTTTCTACAAGCTCTAAATACCCTCCACCTTCTTGAATAATGCAAAGTAAAATTTATGCTTGCCTTGCAAAGAGGTCATATAATAAACATACTATTGCAAGTCCCATGGACTTTGCTACACATTTATACCATCTGAGTTTCTCTATGCATTATAATTGTTCATGTATGTTATAATATAACTGAGCAATATAAGATGAAAATCCCTATATCATTAGCACCCATTTCTTATGCAATAGATACAGCCTCCAGTGGCATTGAATGCAGAGTGTGTAGAGAAGACTAGAATTCTGTATGGTATCTTTTTTGTGGTTCCAAGTCATAATCATTAGAAACCAAGGAGGATTAAAATTAAAGCTTTGAATCCAAGTCTTTTCAGAAGGTCCATATTCACAGCTTTATTTTCAGGACTTTTGTCAATCATAATTGTGCTATTTGTAGACAGGGCCAAGTTCAGGCTTGATTGTGACTCCTTCACCAAGTGAAAGTCTTGGGGATGTACTGCTAAGAATGAGGGAGGCTTTGGATAGAATTCAAGATTCCTTTCCTCTGTTCAGAATCACCCCTCAGAACCTTGCTCCAAATGCTGTCATCTTTCAGGTTAGTTCATCTTCTGAATTTCAATATAATTGTCATTTGTCTTGTTAGACATTTATCAGCTTTGGAAGAGAATGTAATGCTTTGTACTTCAAGAAGTGAGACATATCTCTTAATATGAGGTGCTCACTTGGCCCAGTAGCATTTTAATTCCTTAGATGTAAAGGGACATGCACAGGAATATCATTCCTGCAATCTTTGGTGCAGATGGTAAAGAGGATTTTTTAAGAAGTTGGATAGAGTTGCATGAAAATTATCTTTCTCATCTTCTCCAATGTGGAAGTTCCCCATGTGATATTGAATTTAGTCTCAGCTTATTGATTTCTTACATTTACCATAAATTGCCTGATGTGGAATGGGGTCTGCAAAAGTCATGTATGAAGTAGGTCTATGAAAGGATTCTTTGTAGCTAGACTACACCCTTCTTCGGTCAGAAAGGTGCATGTGAGTCAGCCAACAGGGCATTTTGACAGCTACATAGTCTAGTATGCCACCATTTGTGTGAGGTGAGGAATTGAGAGAAAAGGATGAGCCATTATACTTGTGAGCTTGAATTGAGAATGAAAATCGAGAGGTTCCTTGGGTGATTCATCTAGAAAGGTCATAACAGCATTCCAGTGTGATGCATGCTTATTGGGTACATGAAAAGTCATAGTTGAGATAAGAAGTCCATCCTTTATATCATTGCTTTTGAAAAGTCTTTTTATGAGTGTTTTTCCGTGCATTTTTTTTGTGACCTGTGCTATATGACTGTAATTGTTGTGACTTTATTGTTAAATGGAAAAATTCTTTGGACAGGTGCAGCAGCAGTCCAGGAAGAGGCCTGGGATCTTATGAATGGCATCTCCAAGTATGCTCAAATGCATTCTTTTTTTGGAAGAATGTTGTCCCCATTATTGTTGGTTTCATTGGGTAAGAAGAGAGCAGGTGATAGTCTGATTTTTCTTTTCAATTTGCACTTATTTTCCAGATGGTCAAGGAATAGTTCTTCATGGAAACTACAGGTAGGAAGGCTGGGACAACCATGAAGTAAATCTATTCCCGTGCTTGCATGTTAATTCTCAGAAAGATCTTGTGACAATTTTTTTTTTCTAAGCTCCATAGTGTATGCTTTTGCATTGTTATGTTGTTTCTCAGATGGTTATGGGGGGGGGGGGGGGTTAATAACTTTTCCAACTTTCTATCCACCAAGGATTGTTTAGCATGAGGAATCTCAGTATTGAGAATTCATACAGTCTTCTAAAAGTTTTTTTTATTGCGTAATACACTTTGAATCTTTCAACCATATTTAGGCCCAATTCATCGTCTTTTGTAGAAATCAGTTGATTTTCAAACTTTCAAGATGTTTCTGTTAATCTGGGATGATGGTTCGTCATTTCTTATTTGCAAGTCTCACCTCTCTGAAATGCGTCACACAAAGTCTATAATCTGACAAAAGTGTGAAGATGCAATTTTAACTTTTCTACTTGGACAATAATTCATCTTCAAACTGAAGTATAATCAAAGAATGTTCCACTAAAGAACTGAAAGTCTCAGCTTCATGATGCAAACTCAAACATTACCCAATTCTTATTCTGCAGAAAAAAATGCAAATTCTGGCCACTGAAAATGTATGAAATTGCATTTTCACCCCTTTATTAGATCATAGGTGATTTGATAATATGATTGAGGAAAAAATGGCTCAACATAGAAAAGTAATCTCCCTTGAATGCACTTGAATGTGCAAAGTGCCATCAGCTCGATTCTTCAATAAAATATGCACCAAATAAGAGAAAGGCCTAAGTTTACTCAGTGTTACAGACTTTTAAATGTCTCCTGGGACATATTTCAAAAATGTTCTTGCTTCTTTGCCCAGACTTCAAGTAGGAAGATATTTGTGCATGTTAGTATGATCAATTTCAATTTTGTACTTTTTGGTAGTTGTACTTGTTAAGTTGGCAGCAGGGCCCTGCCTAATTTTCACAGAAACCTTTCAGATCATGGTTTTCACTGACACATTTCACTGGAAGGCATAGGTGATTAACAGTCCAAGTTCCATCCTCTGATTAAATATGACTTGAATTTCAAGTGTGCTTTATTCAACTCCCCCATATCCATAATGAAGTTGTTGAATTTACTCTGGAGTTCATGATAAACATGAATATTGTCAAAGAATTTAGTTTTGTATTCTAGAATTACCTTTGCAGAGAGCTCATTCAGATATGTTGTTGCTTTAGCTGAGAACTGAAGATTCTGGAAGAGAAGTTCTAGTTTCCATGGGAGTGCAAGAATGGACAGGGTATAGCCTTCCTTACCTTGTTTTTTGCTTTTCTGCTCTGAATTGACTCTGTCTGAAGCAAAACCAAACACATTTTCCTTCCTTTGTCTCTCTTTCTTGTACACATGATGGTAATATTTTGCTGAGGGACTGCTCCATTGTATGAGAATTTAAATGGTTTATTTTTCTATGGCTGTTTCCAGCAAGATTAATCAGAATTCATGAATGTTATAATCATGATTCTGCTGGGAATAAAACTTACATATGATCAGTCTGTCTTTTCATTTCCCCCTATCATAAAATTGTGTAAGCCAGTATAGACAGATTTTGCTCACTTTCTAGGGAGCATATGTCATCATAAAATGTGAAACATATTATTTGACCTGGTCAAAACCTGAGTGGCAATTGTTGCTAAGAAAAATTTCAATATAATAATATGGTAATACTTGCATCTCATTGTCATTCCCCTTAGAGCATTGGTTTTCAAACTGAGAAGTGTGACCCCTAGGGGGGTGCAACAGGTCATGGGTCAATTTTAAAAACTATGTCTTATATGACTTTTTTTATATTACTGGAAAATGTTCACATTCCTTCAGGTCTTTCTGGCTCCTTCTCCAGGAGTTCAAGACTAAAAATTAAAGCAATACACTAGAGAAAACTTTGAAATTAAATTCTTTTTCAATGGGTGTTCATTTTCATTGACAATCTCCCACAATATTCAAATCAAGTTAACAGATAGATTGGATTGGGCATCTCTTTGGGCTTTAACTTGAACACTCAGTGTAGTCATTCTCTCTTAAGAAATAACTGAAAAGACTTGAAGACACAGAAGAGCTGGATTCCCAGGCAAAATTTCTGAAAGCATCTCTCTCTCAGGTCTTTGAATATTGTCCTCCCACATGCCTCATCTAAACAGTGTAAAAATTTGGTGGCATTTGGATGTTTAACATGAGCTTGGTGCTGTTATGAGATCATTTGTGGGATTAGAAGCATGTGAGCATCATTCTCATTAAATCAGGTGACTGATCTTGATATCTGATTCCTATCTGTGACCTGAACTGTTTCAATCCTTCATCTTTTATTTTTTCAGTCATCATATGAAGAAAACAGGTGAGGGTAGACTCAATTTCCCAATAATCCTTTTAGAAGGAAAAGGGGGCACAATGCTGAGCCAGGGTTGCTGGGAACAGGGCACAAAAAGTATAAAGTTTGAGAACTGCTGCCTTAAAGCCAGGTATACACTTTGGTATCCACTTTTATCAAGGGAATATCTATCAAACCAGAAGTATTGCACTTTAGAATTGGTTCCTCAGAAGAGGATTCCTGCCCACTCCATGTAGTGCTTCTTGAATACACCAGTCACATTGTAGACTTCTAGCCTTATTGCATTACCTTGTTGAAAGGCTCAAAAGAAAATTCTCTCAACACCCATGGCACCCCTGGGTGCCATGGCACATAGTTTGAGAACTGCTGCATTAGGAATAAACTATTCTTATAACATTTTCCTTTAATTTTTGTTACTGGAGTAAAACCAGTTCACTGCCAAGTAAGACTGCTTTCCAGCAAGATATAAAGTGACTTCCATCAAAGACCTCCAGCAAAAGACATGCTCACAGCAGGGAAACATAATTGAGAAAAAATTTATTGATTCCTTTCAATGGCAAAAATACATTAGGTGAATGAATTCAATGAGAATTGATTGGCTGCTTGGATTTGGATCTTGCTAATTCTCCATGAATGAATGACATAGGAACATGGGCTTGGAAATTGTTGAAGCACAGGCAGTAGTTGACTTGACAGGCTGTGAGAGCCATCTTTTGCTAGGAAGCCTCATTTATGCTACCCCAGGCCCTGGTCCTCAAAGAAACCTTGGGGTGTCTCCTCCTACAGCAGAATACAGAGAGAAGTGGAATCAGGCAGATGCCTCAAATTAGAAATCAATAATGCATCAGGCTTAGGATTTTCACATTTATTCCGTAGTACTTTATTTGTATCCAGTATCACAATCTCGAGATTCCCACCTTAGTTGAGAATATATGGAAGCCTCTGTTTATAGAGACTCTCATAATAGCACAGCAAAATGGTGTTCAAAATACAGTCAGACCCTTCTTTCCACCAGCATCCATGAAAGCGAACTTCTTATGCATCACCTATACAAAGTTCTTGACATACAGATGTTTCAAGGTGTACCATTTCTTTTTTTATGTCTTGACCACCACATATGTCATGCACAAATCAATCACAATAAATTTTTTAATTGGGCAGTCACATTGACTTCTATCTTTAAATTAAAATTTTCATGAAACCTCTAAGGCAGGGGTTCTTAACCGGGGGTCTGTGGAGGGTCCATGGAAAATTAAATACAGGTATATAATTGAAGGTAGCTCCTGAAAAGCATAATTTATAATCACAAATCCAGGTGTTCCAATGTTTCTGATAACCAAGGGGGGGGGGGGGGGGGGGCCATGGGTAATACTTGGGGNTAATGCAGCAGTTCTCAAACTATGTGCCATGGCACCCAGGGGGGCCATGGGTAATACTTGAGGATCTGGGGGGTCTGTAAGTGCAAAAAGGTTAAGAACCCCTGTTCTAAGGCATTAGTCAGACTAGACAAAGAAATGATGTGCTTGAGAGAAATCTGATGCAGCTAGATTGAGTGGAAAATTATACTTACTCTCAAAGAGCAAAAACACTGCAGCAAACACATCAGGAACTCCTGGCATGATTAGTAGCAATGAAGTGATACACTTCTCCATTAACTTGCAACAAAAAGAAAATACTATTGAAACAAAATGTGCCCCCCCCCCCTAGAATAAGAAAATTATGCTGAAAACAAATAAATATGCTGTTATCCTGATTCCATGGAGCTATTTTGATGAAATGCCTTCCTTTTGTTCCAAAAATGGATGGGAGATCATCTTCAGATACTAAGAAGATATACCATACCAATGAGCTGACCAAAGGGCAGATATGCAATTTCAATATTCTTCAGAAGAGCAAGAACTTACTTTTCTTTGAAAGCAAAGGAAGAATCTTTGCACCAGGAAGCTATGAGTCTCAGATATGTAGTGGAAAGTAAACATCCTTCAAGCATCATTATTAAGTCTGGAAAAATGAAAAAATCTTGCTCTTTCAGAAATGTTCAAAACTGCATGCTTGCCCTTTTGCCACATATTGGTCAATATGTCAATGGAGGCAAGCCTAGGGGATTTGAAACCAAGATTTTGAGGAGACCTATAAAAGTCTGTCTGAGTTATCTTATCTAGGACTGACTTCACGCAAAAGGCACTCTTTTGGTGCTACCTATGCAAAGTACACTAATGTTAAATCAAGCAAAAAATGCTGAATAAAATAAATTTTAAATATGTATGTTTCATTAGATTCTTGTTTGGCACTTTCAAAACACCAATACACACCTCTTTATATGCAATTAAAGAGACCTGACTGATGTCAGAAGCAACTAGTTTCAACAGATGCTTTCTATAAGCTTATGTGCTATATCCACTACAATGAAATCAAACTTGAAAGCTGTAAAACAAACCAGACAGAAACATTACAGGTCTTGAAGTGTTACTTGCCTATCAAAAAATGGAATACTGGTCCTGAGTGTGATGATGTGAAGTCTCTCATCCCATGTGAAATTCCAATGAACAACAGTAGGTAAAGGATGCCCATATCTGCACTAAAAAATGGGCTTATGTAGGAAATCTCACAATTGCAACTCATGAAAATGCCTTAATTTAGGTTCATAGGTTCTATGAGGAGAGCATGGGTAGAAGTCTAGTATTGTCCTGGTGAAGATGAAGTACTTCCAAACATTTTCAGTGACTGATTCCTGATTTTTTGAATATGCAATGGCTTTAAATGTTCTTGATCAAAGACAAATGCAACAACAGAGTAATGCATGTTGTTATTGTACATTCCAAGAATATTTTGTCATGAAGTTTAAAAAAACTTAGAAATGGCTTTCACAGCATGAAGTTGAAGAAACATAAATTTGGTGCAATACAATGGCCTCAAATATTCCTAATGATATATCACAGAGGAATTGAAAGCAGCTCCTCATTAGTATGAGGTGGAATCAGTTGGCACCAGGTGTTCCTAACCACTTGTCATATTGCTCTCTAATGCATACATTTAAAGAAAATATATCCATTAGCATTCTAATAGGAAAGGTATTATTGTAAATGGTGGCCTGTCTCTTGATTGGTTATGCTCATCCCATTCTTTCTCTATACTGTTGCAATCAAATGCATATAGGTAAGTGGATTTTTAAAACTGGCCTGTGACACCCGACCTCAAACCAAGTTTTGGTCAAAAAACTGCAAAAAAGAAAACCTCATAAAATCCTACTTTATTATTCTACATCAAATGGCACTATTTACAGGTGGGAGGGCTGTGTGGTACTTGAGTTATCTCAACCTTGAGTTTGGTGCCAAAGCTGCATCTGGCCTTGTGAAAAAAGAGCAAACATCAAAATTGTCACAGGCCAGTTTTTAAACATCCACTTACCCATAGGGTAATGAGGGTGTTTTCCAGTTTACAAGGAAGGATTGAGATATCAAGATGGCTCCATGCAATCATAGGTGGAGAGAAAGAGGAGAGGATAGGGTTTCTGCTCTACAGAGTGGGCAAACAAAAAACAAGTACTTTGCTTTAAGAATTCTTGTAGAAAGAAAGCTAGAATCCATTGTGGAGCATTGCCTTTGAATACTCTGCTTGGAAAAGCCATTGAGAAAAATTTCCAATATGGACTCTAACATCTTATAGAATAGCTACCAGATGTGCTTGCAACTAATAATTTTCCATGGGAAGAAAATATCTGGAAAATAGCATACCACTCTTGAAAAACTATGCTAGCAATTGCCATTGACTTTGGAAGTTGGTCTTTTGATTAAAATTTTCCTAAAATGTTCTTCATGCTTCAGAAGTGCTTCAATCAGGGCTTTGGAGGGCACATTTCTGGGCCTATGAAATCTGATGTGTTCCAATACAAGAACATTTGGATGAGACCTGGATGGGGCCCTACCTTGCATGAAAATTACTCAATTACCATGCACTGTCCACATCTCAAGCAGTGAACAGCAATTGCAAATATTATGAATTCAAGTTGACACTCAAGTTTTCTCAACTCAGTTTCACAACAGGAACCAAGTACCAACGTGAATTCAGAAAATTACTGAAAGAACCATGGTGCATGATTAGATGGCATCTGATATTCTGGCCATATCTGGCAAGTGATTTGGTTTCCAGCAAGATAAAAGCTCATACCACAAGTCTCATGTGGCTGTCACTTGATTGCCTCAGAACCCACCAGGCTCACAAACCCAGAAATGTTGCCATCAAACAGTCTTGATATGAACTACTATAATTATATAGTTCAGAGAGGAGTTTTGTGAATATGGAATCCAGCTTTAAGAAGGTGCAGGATCAGTGAACAAAGATCATCCAAGTGAGGAATACCATTACCCATGATTTTTTGACAGGGCTATTGACCACCACAGCCACTTTTGACAGCCATAGTTCCTGGTGAAGACCTTATTGGACACTTTTTTCAATCAATTGCCAATGAGTTGAATCATTCAAATGCATTCCTCTTAAATGGATTCTACCTCTAGCTCTTTCCTTTTGTAAATTATTACAACATGCCTGGTAAGTTTTTGGCCCACTCTGTTGAGTGAAAAACCTATACAGATACTAATAGGTTGCTATCATGAAGAGATTTCAAATGATAAAACATAAATAACAATATTGGTACTTGAAATCTCTGTGAAACTAGGACCAGTAGTCAAAGTTGCATTCAGGTGAATATATAATGAGGCTTGGCTCTGAGCAACATGGGAACAACTGGAGAGAGTTCATCATCTTTATAAATCCCATCAGTCATGATAGAGGAGAAAATAGTCAATACCTTGTACTTACTGGCATTACAGGCTCTTGTCAGCAGTCATTTGACATTTTCTGAATCCCACCAATGAATTTTAATATGAAGCCCTCCAATGACAAAGAAAGCAAGTGCAGATACAAAGTACTAAAAATTTTCATTTACTCAACAAATCCAAGCCAATTGCACTTTCTGTCATTTTCTGCCTGAAAAAAAAGAGATGCTTGAATTGGTATATGCTGTCTAATAATACAGTTCTAACCTCATCACAAATTTCATAAAATGGCACTTGCTTTTTTTCATCATTGGACAGTAGTATGGTCCATACAATTTCCAGAATTATACATTTCCCAAGATTTTCAAAGTACTAATGCACTAAGGGGCATGTACTACAAAAAGGTCTAGGCTTTGCATGACCCACTCATAGCAAGCATGAAATGGAGACATGAACATGGATCCATAGATCAAAGCACAAAATACTACATATGTTTACAGAGAGATATTCCTTCCACTAGGTAGGCTGATGCCACTCAGAGGACACCATCAGAACATGCTGCTAGTTGCACAAGGGGGTAACATTAACCAGATTATGGTATGCAAATGAACTTTAAGTACAACAAGCTATCATAGAGGAAACATGAACATGGCAAAGGTATCTGGAAGACACAACTAGGGAGTCAGGAATAGTGTTTATAGAAAAAGGCAGATAGACTCATTAAAGCCAATGATTGTGAGATCACAAATATTTTATGTCTTCTGAGTATGAGCTTTTTGTTAGGCACATCTAGAAAACTGACACCAGGAAAACCCTTACCAGTAATGTATGAAAATTCAGGAAGACATTCAAGGATGAAGAGAAGTAAAGATAGCACAAAAATATTGTGACAAATTGGTACAGTTGCAACTGTGTCACAGATGATGAAGAGAGATTCAGCTGCATGTAAATTTTGATGGAGAAATGCAGTGTCACACAAGACCTATGTCCCGCAGTGCTCCTTCAATTGCTTCTTCCTTCATGTCAAAAGAAAACCCATTAATACAGTGCGAGTGACTCATATACATTGCCTTCTGACATAAAATATATTTTGTAATTAGGCAATGAGTTATGATATTAGTTACTATTTCTCTCTTCTTTCTGCTTGGGTTTCTTTGATTTCAGAGACCCTAGTAATTTTCATTTCCAATTAACTACACTTTCTTTTCCTCTCACTTGCCCATGTTTTATGGTTTCTAGAAAAGTAATGTGTTCTTCACTTCAATGAGGTGAATAGACATAAGAAAATACAAGCCATTATAAATTTATTTCTCAAAACAGACTAGAACTTCTAAAAAGGTAGGCCTCTGAACTAAAGAACAAGCCCAACATGAAAAACTGGTGATGCCAGCAGCAATTCTCTCAGAAATGATGCTCATCAAAGGGCCAATTACACAAAAAAAACTGAGTACTGCCTCTTTCATGCTAGGTCTGCATAACTTCATACTGAAAATTAAAAAAATTGTTCTTGGTAAATTCCCTTGAGAAACAAAATCCCATTACTCACCTACTCTATGCATTACACAAACAACAGCCAAGGTAAATTGTCATTTATAGGTTCTCTATCTAGTATAAGACCAGATCTTTTTCAATTCTATCTTCATTCAAAGTGAAATGGGGTGGATTTTGAGTTTCCTTGTAACATTGTTCTGCTTACCACAAAGAAATGAGTCATTTGCAGTTATATAAAGGGCTTCCAACATACCTCTTGTAGGAGGTCCTGTGCAGCCAATGCCTTCAAGATACTTTTCTTGCTTGTTTCTTGAATTTCACCACCAATTAAGAGTTCATCAAGTATGAAGTAGGCCTTCTCAAAGTTGAAGATGATGTCAAGTTCACAAACCTATGAAAAGTAACAAGTTCTCACTATTTTCCAGTTGGAGGATAGCTCCATCATGCCAAAGAGAACTTACAGATCCAAAATATTTATCCAAGAGTTCCACATATCTATGGATGATTTCAAGGTACAGGAGCTCATTGTCATCTTGTTCAATTGCACAACAGAAGTGCAGGCTGGCATACCTGAAATGTTAACTGCATTAGTTCAGAGAATAGGACTACTACTCCAATCCAGCCTAGTAATCAATGAATACAGTAATACCTATACTAGTGAAGTGTAAACATTAAAAGTACACCTGAAATAGTGAAGATATCACTTCCCATGCTTTTTAAAAATTTTTCAGCATTTAAAATCCCTTTTCTGAGATTATCATAAGATCTAGTGAGCATAGTGTGATTTAAAACTCACCTCTTGTAAACAATCTTGAGGTCCTTCCACTCTAAGAATGAGCACATTTTAGACTGACGTGAAAGAATCAATGTCGTCAATTCTCTCATAATCTTCTTCTTCACCTTGTCTGGGAAAGCAGCATACCATTTCTGGAGACGTATTTTCCCCTGTCGGCTGAACAGGAGCATGAACTGCATCTATGGAATGAGTAAGTCCATCTATTGGTCACTTTCAAGAAAAAAAGAGTCACAATAACTCAATGCTTTCTCAATGAGCAGATAAGGCTTTAGGCCTTTCCAATGCTTCCCTTGACTGCCAGCCATTCACTCGTACACTTTGCAGCCTTCTTTTTCCTTGAATGGCAAGCTCTAATCCACTAAACCTTCTATTTGGTTCATCTCTTGTAGGAAATGTTTGACAGATGTGCATGATGGTGAAAAAATTGTCTGATATTCTTTTTTAAGGCATTTCTTTGAAATGTTTCTGGCATTAATGTAAAGTAAAAATAACAGAGAATGTTTCCTGACAACACTTCAGAATATTGGTCAAAATGTAAATGCTAGAGTAGCGGTTTTCACAGAGGAAGTTTGACAGAAAAAACAGCAGCAATCAAGCTTTTCTCATCTATTGATCAGTTCTATTGAGGGAGGGATTGGTCTTTCATGCATGAGCCCACTAGGAGATGACTTCCTTGGTGGGCCACTGGTAGAATGGCACAAGAGATGTCACATGAAAGTACTATATGAATAGATTGTAGTGATATGAGCTTCATTTGAAATAATTGAGGTTTGAGTGGGTGATATTAATGTACAAGGTACCTTCAAAAAGTTTCCAGACTCAGCCTATAGTATTGCTGCTTGCTGTGGCAGGTAGCATGATGCATGCAGAGGCACAGGTACCTGGAGGTGCTAGCCCGCCTGCGAGAGGCAATTTGTGAAGCGTCCCGAATTGTGGGCGACCAAAAACTGGGTGCTACACCATGACAATGCTCCTGTGCATCGGTTGCTTCTTGTGCAGCAACAGCTCGCCAAACATAGAACTGTGGTGCTTCCTCACCCTCTGTACTTGCCTGATCTCACGCCTTGTGATTTTAACCTTTTCCCATGCATGAAAGACCAATTGACCGCCACTTCAAAGATGCAGAGGAGATTAAGGCAACTTTGGAGACAGCGTTGAAGGAGGTGGCATATGGAGGTTTCCAGAAATGTTTCAAGGAACTGTATCGACGCAGGCAGATGTGTGTCATTGCCCAAGGGGAGTATTTTTAAAGGAAATTGTGTATAATTGTTCCGTAAAAGTGTCTGTGAAATGCTGAAATAAAATCAGTCCAGAAACGTTTTGAAGCAACCTTGTAAATACATATTAAGCTCTATTTTGGCAACCTGAAGCAGCCATGCCACATGTCCCACCCAGGCCCCAGCATCTACCAACATTAGTCTCTGTGCCACAACCTTCATGTTCTTCCAAGGCATGCACATCATACTGATATTTTTATGCCATTCCTGCCTGCTTTTCTTCCTAATTCAAGTGAGACCCACTGAAGCAAAAGCACAGTTTGTGCAGTGTGGTTATTCTCCTACTCCTTTGGTGTCAAAGGCCAAAAAGTGATAGAGCCAACCTACTTTGAGGGGATGATGGGTTAGAAAAGGGTCATGGCCTTCAGCAGCTTTAATTTTCTTTATTGTCATTCCATTATTTTTTTTATGAGACTCAGTGAAACTTGGAAACCATTTTAGTGTGCCTATGTCAAATATAAGGTTCATATGATGCCCCACGAAATATATTTCTGCCATTATGTCTCCTAGTTTTTCAACAAGATTTTTTTTAGAGGAAACCATATAAGAATTAAATATAAGAATTATTAATTATATATAAGAATTAAATATAATTACCATATAAGAAACCATATAAGAATTAAAAGACAAGAAATGGAAAGAGTCTTTTTTATCCATCCCCACAAATCCTAGACAAGTAGCATAATTGTGCTTGCTACCTCGTGGTCCCACTCCAAGCACCTTAAATGAAATGATTAATTATAAACCCTCCTCTCTGTTCACTGCATCTGACCCCCGTTCTTCGCATCTGGGATTCGTCCCGTAAGGACCCTCCCTTTCTGCGTATCACATTCAGTATAGCTCTTTTAGCATCAAAGTTCTAATATCCTGATCTCTATCTGAACCAGTGGGAGAATGGATCAATTAGGGATCTATCACATTTCAATTTGGTCCTGATGTTGGAGGATGGAGTTATGTTGCGGATCAGTGGTACTCTGTTCTTGTAGCCTCCACTCTTCTGTTCAGGCTGAGTGCCTTGTTTATTTATTTATCCTCCCTAAGAAGCCTCTCATAATTTTTGTGAGTGAGTTCTCTGTTGATGGCCAAGTGCATCCCCTCCCCCCCCCCCCTTGGTACCTGGACTGTCAGAAGTAAAAACTTAAACTCCTAATATTGTCAAATCCACTGAGCTGTGATCATTGGAATAGAGGAACTTTACTTTTCTACCAAAAATTGAGTTATTCATGAAAATGAAGAAAACAGTGCATCAGAGCAAGTTTTGTCTCATGTGAAAGGCAAATCCTAGGATGCTAAGGAATAGGGTACAAAATTTCAGCAGCTGGGACGCTAGAGTGCTGAAAGACACACATACACTGTTTCCGGATTGAATTTGTACCACCCCCCATAGTGGAGACTTGAGAAAACACACATTTCCAGAGGTACTGCCTCAGAAAGTGATGGATAAAACTACCCATGTGAAAGATGTCACAACCTGCAACCAATGGAAGCGCTCCTATAGGAGGTACGAATTCAATCCTGAAACAGTGTATACGACGGAATGCAATTACCTGTGGTAGTCAATGCTTTTTTTTTTACAGGTGTTATAGGCTGAATCTTCTTTCGGTAAGCCTTCGGCTTACTTCACTCCAGTTTGAATAAACCATAAGACAAGGGATGAGCAGGTAACTGACGTACCATATCGTTGTTGGCTTGAAATAGGGTGGTCCTAGGCCAAGCGGTACTGACCGGGTTTGAGTCGTTAACGAAAGAGCCGCAAGGTCCCAAGCAACCCGATCAAAGGTAAAAGATTAGGGACATGAAGAAAATGTGGAGGTAGGGCGAAACCGACACCAGAAGTCGAGGTGAAGGAAGGCGAAACAAACGGAGGTTTCAGATTCCACACCTCGCCACGTGGAGCTTTGCCAAGTGACGTTATGTGATGAGTAGATGACCAACAGAACTACTGGAGGACGCCATGTTTACAGGCATGATCGCTTGCTGCTTCCTACTGCGCCAAGCGAGTAAATGATGTCCCAGGCCTAAGCAATGGCTCGTACTCTTTCATACTGCGCTGTGATGCATACCATGTGCAATGGCGTTGTGTTTTACCGTGTTTTTCACTTGAATGAGACAAACTTTCATATGACCCTTGAGACTCCGGTGTGAGGCATTCTTCATGCACGAGTGTCCGGGTCATGTCAAAATACTTCGTCATTGTTCAGTACACTTACCAGCCTGAGGAGCGTTAAACTATAGGCCAAAACAGGACCTTCCCTTTCTCCAGAACATTGAATGAATAGTGCAGAGAGTTGGTATTATTGCATAAGTTTGCATTGATAAAGCCACGGCAAGACCACAATGCCAGGTCATGAGGCATTGTCATGATTGAGGCATGGCGTCTCTGAAAGAAAATGTACTTACTTATCTAAATCTACTTACTTTGTAAAAGTAGCACGATTAAAAATCTTGTGACAGCTAATTCTGTCTCCTAGCACTTAGTCAACCCAAGGTTATTTCATTTTTAAGCAAAAGATGCGGCTTTGTCCGCGGTGATTTTGAAGTTCTGTTACTTTTGGCAGCCCTGGACACATCCAGGAATCAACTACGAGAATTCCGACAAAACTCGAGGGAAACATTTAGAGTGGATTTTTGAACAGAGAACTATCCGATAATGCAACTTTATTTCAGAGAAAATGCATTATAAACCCAGTAAATAAAGCTGCATTATCGGATAACGCTCTGTTCAAAAATCCACCCTTAATTTTAGCGACGCGAGATCTTAGTTTGATTGCGTTGGACATAGGCCGGAGTGCTTAAACCTCCTCTCGTTTACAGTCCATTACACGATAGGAGTCCAGTACATGGACTCCTATCGAGGTGCTCTTTGGCATTAAGGTCCCTTTTATCGTACCTTAATGAGGTCTCAGCATTCGGGCCTTAGCTTATTGGCCGGACCGACATCGTCCCAAATACTCAGCCACGTCCAAAATAATTTTACCATTTTTTTCCCCGCTAATATCATCCATATCGTATTGGAGAAACATACCGGCATACTTCGGAGGAGGTGTTCGAAGCTTGTGGAATGCAAGCTATGAACGAGTCCATCCGTAACGTGAGGCGCATAAAAGCTTACTTTCTGAGCCGAAGAGGTGAACCGACCGCGGACCCACATTCTTTCAATTCGGAATATCAGGAGCCTGTCTCTTCAAGCTTCTGAAACCCATTTAACGAAATTCGTAGGGTGGATTTTTGAACAGAGAACTATCCGATAATGCTGCTTTATTTCCAGGGAAAATACATGATATTTCCTAGAAATAAAGCAGCATTATCGGATAGTGCTCTGTTCAAAAATCCACCCTTCTGGCTTATTCTTTTCTTAAATGGAGCCCTCTTAGAAAATAAATAGAAAAATATCAGGGGCCTGTTTAGGGGCCTGCTAAACTTGGCATCAAAGTATACTACGTGGTATTATGACAAACAGCAAAGAGAGTCCGTTGTTCCTCGCCTCATTGCCGAATTAACGCTTTTAAATTAGATTAGATGCAAAGTTAAAGGAAACCGGAGTGAAAGAAATTAGAAATCAATTCATGCACTATATTTTACTCATGCACATACTCATACACGCACATACCCATTAAAGCTTTCGCCTCATCTTTCCTCAGTGCCAAAAAAATCTTGTAAAAATCCTAAAGCATTCCCTAAGAGTTGGAATTTTTCCCAACTCTAGAATTTGGAGGTGATGTTTGATCCATAGACTAATGCTAGAACATTCTAATCCCTCCGGTTCCATGCTAGTCCTTCGAATGTGATTTGCGCTGACGAGAGTGTTTATCGGAAACCGATGTATACCGGAAATTAAAGTTTTCACTTTCTAGTTATGCTGAAGCAGGACGGCGACGTCGCCTGGAAACGAAGTAACTAAATTGGACTAATGACATTCTGCCGATCCTAGCTTCTTTCGCCTTTATCTGATTCATTCAAATTCCTGCAGAGTTTAATCGCTTATGTGTGATTGGTTCCATGATTCCATTGGCGTACTCTTGAGAGGGCAGCGAATGACAGACCGGCAATATGCTCTTCGGCGCCTATATTGACCTCTGCCTTCTCCAAAGTCAATCCTTGGGACATGTGTATTGCTACTGCCCAGGATAGAGTAAGTGGCAACCCAATTCTCGACATTACTTGTCCACCTCGGTACCAACCTAGTGCGAGTGGGATCTAATTCCAATTGCATTTCCTTCGAATTTGGGGATTCTGCTAGGCGCCTCTGCTCCATGATTTTCCGAACCTGCTCTCGTTCTTTTTTTTTGCTCCTGGCAAAACATTACGAATCTGAGGACTTCTAGCGCTTGGGCCTCAGTATCTAGTAGCTATTCCAAGCCGAGACAAAAGCTTTCGATACGGTTGCCTACATCATGATACTGCGTACTTCTCAGGTCCGAAAAATGGAAATACTAAGAAAGGAATCACCTGTACGGGTTGGAGAGCACTTTTTTTTTTATCTCCACGAAGCTCTTGCGGAATCTTCCTTGAGCAGATCTAGCACTTACTGGGGATGACTCGCAACAACCGCGATTCATCTGGCCTCACTCTTCTCTTGCGGAAACTTTGTTTATTCGGGGAAATGCCAGATGGCAGGGCTGCAGCTAAATCATTTCATATCCCATTCTTTTACCTTAAAGGCTCGACCTCGTGCCCAAATTGGATCGATCCTATGGAAAAATTTTATTTTCCTAGTAGATGTTTGTTCAATGGTATCCATGAGGTCAGAAGCCGTGATAGGCAACATTTTGTTGTTTTTTTTCCCCACGAAATTGAAGATAACGTTAGGTTGGAGCAAGGTTTGTCCCATGAAAAGGGCTAATCCTTGGATGCCAAGGAATAAGGATTTTAAAAATGTCAGCATTCTTTTCGTTCAGCAGCTTCGAAGCTAGAGTGCTGACAGACACACACACATGCACACGAAGAGCTAATTTCTGTGGTAGTCAATGCGCTTTTTCGTAGGTGTTATATGTTGAACCTTCGTTCGGTAAGCATTCGACCCACCTCACTCCGGTTTGAATCAAGTTCAGATTTAGATCAAGTTTAGCAGAGGCGACGAGCAGGCCCCTGAATTCGATTTGGAAGTCACATTTCTCTAAACATCTAAATCCGACTTTTTCTTTTCTATTAATATTTCTGCCTCTAGAACAGGTTTTCGTCGCCGGATATCCCTTTGCTCGACACATGGACAACCACGTCATTTATACTGCTGCTCAATCTAGAAATAATCAACCTGAATGTATCCCAAGGGAAAATGTCTAGCATCCAACTATCCTCGGATGCTACGAGGGTCGTTGGCTGCAACTCGTATAACTTCTGGCGCAGCTGCAAAGCAAGACGGCAGTTCTTCTCTGTGAATCTATGAGATGTTCTATGAGATGTGAGATTGTTCATAAATATTTTTATTATTCTACCGGGAAGACTCGGGCATGGGAAAAATAACATTTCATTGGACATTGGACATTGATCATGAACGTTTTTTGATATTCAAACAGACGATTAGTGGCGGTGCAGTATTAAGAAACAATTGGCTTGAAATGAAATGTGGCGTGGTGTAGTGGTGTGCCAACTGTCCGGGCTTCAATTATTGCCGGAGAGGAGAAGAAACCTGGCTTCACTGCCACGCTCCAGAGATTCACCAACAAAACATGGAGTGGCGATGCAGTTCGTCACCGAGGCCAAACATATTTGAAAACCTAGTCACTTGTGGGAAAAATTTTGGCAACTGTGTTTTGAGACGTCGATGGTTTCTCTTGGTGGATTTCCTTTATGGAAATTAACTGTTAATGTGGTAGGTTCAACCCTCACGAATGGGGCTTTCGTTTACCACTTTCACAGAAAATCTGGGTTTTTAGCTGACTTCTTGCCTGAAAGTAAAATGTTCATATTTCGCGGACAATGTGGACAGCTGAAAGCCTTCTATATATAAGTAAATTTATGGAGTAATTCTATTTTTGCGACTTTAATCAGCCTTTCCCGGGGTTATTTTTCTTGAATTCTCAATCCCAGTCGTGCTTAGACACTCCTACATTTGTGGAAGAATAGCGTACATGTTCCGTCCGTCAACAAAATGTAAGCCTGACTGCTGAAACCTCATTCAGGCGAGACAAAGAGGCTTTTAAGCTTAGGCACCCTTTCCGCCAATAGGAGTCGATGGGTTCATAAAGGACTATTAACTAAAGTTTTTTTCGCCATTCAGACCCTTGCAAAACGTCCACCTGCATCCACCTGGCTGAACGACAAGGTGGATAGGATATAGGTGGCACATCCACCTGGTGGAAATACACTTGGTCATTCACACGTGTACTTCGAGCCAGATGGATGTCCCCCCACCCCCCCAGGGTGGGTATCCCTCCAACAGGTAGATTTACGCCTTAAGGGTCATCCACCTGGGTGGTGGACGTTTTATAGGGAGGCCTTAGGTGCTTACCCCCTCCCGCAAAGCCACAAGGCCATGCAAAGCAACCCAACGCTGTCAATCAGTCTGTGACCATGAAGATGGTTAGTTAATCAATGTGACTATATCCTTAAAAATAAAGATTATTTCACAACTGAAACGCGAACATTTTCGGAATATCACGATCCCGAAAGCAAAAAATTACGAAAAAAAAAGCGGGAAACGAATTGCCCTACTCATGAAGCTCCTGGAAACCATGAAGCCGCAGCCAGCCGACGTCTTGCTGCTGCGTATACGCACGATCTAACGCAGCTGCGAAGACCAATGAACGCCTGCAGCAACTGAGCTGGACACTACCCTTATACCCGTCATAAATTCTAATTTCGGCACTTGGTGACTATCACCCTTCTGGCGTCTCAGGGAAGCGGAGACACCATCCGCAGATGATACATATCTGCAGTCGACCGTTCGGATGTAGATCAGCAAACAGGATCATTCCTATTTGATCATACCTTGATGGGTTTTACTGGCTTCCTGACAGGTGGCAGAAGTTTTTTGCTGCAAATGGTGAA